ACAAATAATAATAATAATAATAATATTTGGAAAGGATTGGGAGAACTTCAAATTCAAATGATCAGTCGGGGAAGTGAACTGCCTGAAAAGAGAAAAAACGCCAGACCCACCAGGACTCGAACCTGGGACCCTGCTTGTCATGAGCAATGCTCTAACCACTGAGCTATGGGACCAGTTTTTGGAGTGAAAAACTTGTCAGCGCCTTCTAGGTTCAGCCTGGTCCCATAGCTCAGTGGTTAGAGCATTGCTCATGACAAGCAGGGTCCCAGGTTCGAGTCCTGGTGGGTCTGGCGTTTTTTTCTCTTTTCAGGCAGTTCACTTCCCCGACTGATCATTTGAATAATAATATTATAATAATAATTTGAAACTCGGATGTTGAGCCATAAATAAATGTAAAAGAGAAAAGGACATATGGATACGAGTTTAGAGTAACTCTCCATCACTGTAACATGATACTATATACAGTCAGAAAGTGCAATAACTAGGCACAAAACTGACAGAGTACTGAGACATTCGACGTCCTGACACCTAACTTTAACACATCTCCGTAGCGCTAACCGACAGCCTTCCAACTTGGAAGGTTCAAGGTTATGGAAAGACCAAAGAGGGGCTTGTACAATTCGTTTTCGCAAAGCTTCCCTTTCTTTACTTATCTTTGATATTTATGACCCACCCAAGTTGGGTGGTGTGCTGCTTTGCTGCTTCGAATTGTAGTTAGACCGCTTTGTCAAATATCGTACTGGTCTCGTCATCGTCCAGTAACAATCGACATTCTTTGTTCCGTTGGGACTGTAGCTTTTGCTCGTTTTCGTTGCGCTTGCCTTCCCCTCTTTGGTCTTCCCATAACCTTGAACCTTCCAAGTTGGAAGGCTGTCGGTTAGCGCTACGGAGATGTGTTAAAGTTAGGTGTCAGGACGTCGAATGTCTCAGTACTCTGTCAGTTTTGTGCCTAGTTATTGCACTTTCTGACAGTATTATAGTATCATGTTACAGTGATGGAGAGTTACTCTAAACTCGTATCCATATGTCCTTTTCTCTTTTACAATAATAATAATAATAACGAGAGAGCTTGGAAGCTCAGGGCCCTACGCTATGCTTTGTTACTTAGCTCATCGTGCATGTTGTGGGAACTGATGGAAATGTTTCCTGGGACGGCGCTGACTCTGCCGAGCACGTGCGTTCTGGAGTCAATGGGATCTCTCTGCCGACGTTTCCTGTGACCGGCGCTGACTCGCCCGTTCACGCCTATTTTGGAGACGACGGGATCTCTCTTCCAAAGTATGTTTTTGCTGACGCATCCTATCACCTATTCGGAAACTAACATCCATTCTAATTTCATATCCTCCTCGTCTCCCTATTTCTTTAAAGAAAGTCTCTCTATACATCAGGGAGTCGTACTGTATTGGCAGCTACCCTAACGGGTCACGCCGCCCACCACCCAAGCATGGGTATGATGAGGGACAGTGGCAACAGAAACAAAAAACAGCAAGCAGGGAGAGAAAGCAAGAGAAAGATGGCGATAGTAGTACATCTGGTGTGCGACGTATAGAAAAGAGAGATGACAAGAGATGCGCACAAAATAGGAAACAATAATTATTTTTGCAGTTCCGAAACAATCAACCAGGTGATGGAGTGTGGGCACCCGAAGTCCCACCTGGACTCCACTGGAAGAACATCCCACGCAGGGATATCAGCGATAGGCCAAGCGTTGAAAAACAGCCATGAGGACACATCGTCTAGAAGTCCACCGCGCTCGAACTGAAATTGCAGGTTCAAACAATTTCCCACGCGGCGTCAGGCAGCGTAACTCTTCTCCCTGCATCACCATCCATCTCCAGCAACCGTCTACACTCACAGCTCATGCCTCTGCCACCACTGTACTCCTCCGAGCTTCGCAGTTTGAAACCATTCGGGGGTCAGCTACACCACCGCGAATGGAGAGACGAGGACGACAACGGTCGTGACTGAAAAGACACTGCCTTGGCGACCGCGTCGCGGAAACCTCGCCCCAGCAAATTCAGAAATACGCCAGGGGCAACTCTGGTGGACCCAGAGCCACCCCCTTGGCAAGACTAGTAAGAGGAACGACTGAAAAACTCAGATAAAACGGAGCTACAAAAAGTGCAACGGTCCCCTTCAAGCACAGTTGCAACACACAGGGAGTCATAGTATACATGTACATACCGGTAATATTGTGGCCAGCTGTTTGTAGCCAGCTGTGTTTGATGGTACGGTACGGTACGGGACAGATACGGAAGCCAGCAAATGGCCAGCTGTGCGATACGGTACGGGACAGATACGGGATAGCGCCAGGCGTGACACAAACAAACAAACAAACAAACAAACAAACACCAAGAATAATGTTTTTTTTTTTTTTTTTTTTTTTTTTGCCATGGCGGAGGATTGAAAACAAATCACATAATGATGACGTCGCATGTGATCAGACAGCAAGAGAAGCATAGCATAGTCCGCACAATCACGGGGCAAGGCTCAACGGGACATCCTAGCCTCCACGACAGCCAGGGAGGCACAGCCATCCATTGGAGGCTGCCAAACTCGGCGAGCCCCACGCAGACACATGACACTCGAACGCAGCAGGGCGAAAGACAGCCTGCAGCGGAGGTGGGCAATTAGCACAGAATACGCCTCCCTCCCACGTAGCGACTGGAGATGTGCAATCCGGCTCACCAGTGCAGCGGCACCCTTGCCGCATCCTCCGGTGGAAGAGAGCACAAAGGGGAGAAAAGTGGATCGCTCCACTTCTCGGACTCTCCGATCATATCGACGCCGTTTCTCTTGCTCATGGTGCCGGTAGCAGCCAGAGAGAGAGGAGGTGCGGTTCGAAGACGCATAAGGGTTCAACACCCGTACATCAATAAAAGTGCGTTCGAACCGACCCCCCCAAACTCCACTGGCCACCACATCCAAACGAGCTTGATCCTCGGTTGATGCTGACCGGAGCTGAAACTGCTCCCCAGTCAGGGGTTGGAGATGTGGCTCCACTGCGACGTTGTGGGCGACACCCTTCAATGAGCTTGCCAGTATGTCGCGCACCTCGTTGTGGCGGATCGAGGGGAACCCACCGAAAGGACAGGACAAGGCGTGAGCAGTGGTGAATGCCTTCTCGCAAACACAGGTGGTGGGCAGGCGAGAAGGCGTCCAACCGTAACGGAGGCAGAGGCCATCCCGGAATTCCCCCTTCGACAAAGCGAAGCCATGGCGAGCGATGGGTCGGCAGGTAAGCCAGCTTGATGCTCCCTTCTCCTCTGCCAGACTGATAGCGAGATCGAGTTCGCTGTGTTCGGTGCGGAACGTATCGGCAGCTATCTTCATTGCCTTTCTGGCCTCAGAGCGAGCCTGACTCTTGGCCCTGCGGACACAGGCAAGAGCATCATCGAGGTGCTCTTCTTGCGCCATGATCTTGTCGTACAGCGCAGTGGTGATTAGCCTGGAGGTGCCGTACTGTGAGCCAAAAGTGGCAGGGTTGGCCACGCCGAGGCCTCCATGCCGGCAGGGGAAAGTGAGCAAAATGCGTTCAGCTTCACTGGGCGCCGTCCGTCCACTAATGGCAGGGATTAGGCGGCGGTGGATGATGTCCTCCAGGGGTGCCAGCTGTTCTGCAGCACCATCGAGAACCCGACACAGGAAGGACCACCGGTGTTGGAGGCTGTTCACCAGTGCAGAGTAAGCTGCTTGAGGCTGTGACCGGGCGAAATCTGTCAGCTTGCACAGCTCCTGCGACCAGGTGGCCACCTTGGAAGCCACAAACTCCTGCACAAACTGATCAGTTCCGATGGCTGATCCAAGGTGACGGCACCCGTCAGTGGTGATAGACACACCCGTGCCGGCGAAGATGGTCTCGGCTGCCTCTAGCTTGTCCCGCTTGACGACGAGGACGGACTTGCTGGGGTTAATGAAATACCCGAACGCCGGCCCATCCCCGACGAGTCGGTCCCACCACTGGCGGAGAGGGTTGAGCCCGCCACCCGCGGACGAGTCATCCGCATACCAGCTCTGGCGTGTTCCTGGGGTTGCCACTCTGCGCACCAGGGGGAGTACCCCCAAAGCGTACATCGGCATAGCAAGAGGATCTCCCTGCGTTGTGCCTTCTCGCGATAGGAGGCACTCCCCGTCCACGAATAGGCGGGCCGGCTGACGGTAGCAGTTTACGATAGCGGGTGTGATGGCTGGACAGAGGTGCGCTACGTTGCGCATACATGCTTCTCTGTTAAGGCGATTGAACGCATTGGATGCATCCGCCATAAGCACAGCGTCAACGTCTTCTTCATGGAACGTGTCGTGCATGGCGTGAATGGCCGCCTCAATGCCACATTCCTGGCCTCCGCACATCTGCAGTGACCCTGTCGCCTCACGAACAGAGTCCCCCGCCACGCTCAGAATAGCCTTGCCGATGATACGACGGACGGTTTCGCCGATGCCTATTGGGCGCACACCCGGTTTCTTATCTAGAGGGATAAGCCGGCATGCCGTGTAGGCTTCCATCGATGCTGGGTTGACGTACTGAGTGGCGATTCGCCGGGCACAGCTGGCGAGAGCATCACATAGGTCGTCTGAAATGTCCCCAAACGCTGTGCACATACGCCTCCAGCCATCTGCGTCCATCCCAGACGGCCCTGCAGAACCGGTGGTATGCAGTGCAGCTTGGCGCACAGCGGTCCTGTCCAGCTTGGTGAAGAGCACTGGGTGGGGCTGTGCTGGGGGTTGCCCTGGGAGGAGAGCCGCTACCAAGAATAATGTCGTAGACTCGTAGCTCCGTACTGGACCGTAGCCTAAAAGTACAACCGTAGAAGGCCGTACCGATATCGTATACCGTACTTGGGCCGTAGCCGCCATACGCATATTACGCGATAAGATTGTTTACGTCATCTTTTTCAAAATCGTTTCGAGTGATACCTGTGATACGTCATAGCATCATGTTCGGATACTGCACTGCACTGGTAGTATGGTATGTGGCGAATCATAATCAGCTTTGACTTTTGAGCATCAGAACTGATTATTGTTGTTTGACTTTTTCTGGAAAGAAAACGAAGACGGAAAGGATATGTTCAAGTTCTTGTAGACTTGTCGTAGACCGATTTGGCTATTCCTTAGTGCTAGTTGAAGGCAGACGTCGTTCTCAGCTAAAATCTGATCCCTGCTGACGCACGAGGCTGTGGCTGCATGCAGAATGGCGGAAGGTGGCCATGATGGAGTTCGATTCTATTGCCATACGTGCAAGGAAGATATTGAGGCACGCCAAACTGAAGAGGTCAGTGTATCATATTGCAAGTACAGTACCTGATGAACCAGGGCATATGTTGTGAAGTGTATGCAGTGAGCACATAAATTATGTTCCGGAACAATCAATGCTGTAGGTTTGTAGTGTTTTTTTGTTGTTGTTTTTGTTTTACATTCCGCAAGGGTGTTCCTGTTGGAACCTGCCTGTTGGAACCTGTTGTCCGTTGGAGGCATTTCTCCTAGGCCACGCTCTATTATTTTCCTTTCCTGTGGTAGATAGACAAGAAGCGTACAATTATTTCCCATCTTTAACTCTGCTCAAACGACTACAGATGACATCTTTGAAGAAATAATGCAGTTGGATTCATTCTGTTGAAGCCAGATGCCTTGCTTAAAGGGGAAGTATACCCTAAAATCAAATGTTCACCAGTTGTAGTCTTCGGGGTGCTCATACATGCCAACCTGGAGGCTCGAGTCCCCTGGACAACCCGCCTCAATTCCCTTGATTTGGACCGTTTTCCCTGGACACCATTTTTTTGGTGCATCCATCATTATCAGAGATATTTTCACTTCACCTATTAGTGAAAATGCAAAAAAACAAACAAACAAAAAAACAGCGGTGCACAACGCCGACAAAGAGCTGGATCAGGTTATATTGCACGCACAAAGAAGGCAGCAGAAGAGATAGAAAATGCAGTACATGTATAGAACACCTAAGCGTTATGTTAGCAGGCAATAGTAATAAACTACCAGTATGTACACACAAGAAATGGGAAATAGCAGTGATGCTTTGAAATACCCTGAGAAAACACGCCAGTCTGGTCTCAAGTGCTACTGAACGGGTTTGTCTCATTAACCTTCAGACGGAGCAACAGCACGCATCGTGGCTGACTTTGCTTCCTTCAGTAAAGCTGATGACAGCAGATCCTGGCTTGCGTAGCAGGGCTCAGGATGGTTCATTTTCACACGCAGGAGATGGCATGTGGTTTCTGGCTTCAGCTGAGAGCGGTTCTCTGTCTCGATCTTCCTGACCATCGAAAGCAGGCGCTCTGGATCTGCATTAGTGTGCAGCAACACCATGGGCACCTTGGAGAGAGCCTGAACAATGTGGGAAACCTGGCGGCCATAGCAATCCAGAAGCTATCAAGTGGGGTATCACTGCTTCTATCCAGTGCTGGAAGCTCACTGCCAGATGCTGCACAGTACTTGGTAAAGTCTTGTACAACCTCGTTGATGTCAGCCGTTGCGAACTTGGTGAAGCGCTGGCAGAGGCGAACGGTTCCCTGGGTGCTGCAGCTGCCTCGGTTGTGCGGGTCCAGAAAGGCTAAGTCTTGCAGAGTCCGTTCGTCGTGAGGGAACTTTGCAACCATCTTTCCCACCACAGCGGCTTGGTAGAAAGCTGCACCCACTGAAGTGCCAACTGCCTCCTCTTCATGGTCCTCGATGAAAAAACTAATTGCGTCCAGGCCAACGCCAAGGCATTCATCATCAACTTGATACTCAGGTGCAGAGCAATCAAGCTGTCATACATCATCTGAGTTACGAATGACATCGGACTTCGCGAAGTTGGCCATGAAACCCTTCAGGAGCAGCGTGATATCAGAAAGCATTGTGCCAAACCTACTGGCACTGGTCCGGAACACCGTTGAAAACGTGTTGAGGGGCCCCAGCGCGAACACAATGAACGCGCAATACAGCTTCGTCTCGGTGCTTTCCAGTGCATCAGCAACTCGCTGTGTCCGTGCGTTGCTCCTCTCAACCTCTCTGCCGGTCGAAATAGGCATTCAGTGCATCCCACTGATCCAGAAGACGAGCTGCGCACTTCTTGAGGCTGAGTCAACGAGTCGTGCAGTGCTTCAGGACTCGAAGGGGTTTCAATTCATCAAATTCTCGTTGAATGTCAGCAAACTGCTCCCCACGCTTGGCGCTGTGCTTGAAGTGGTAGTGCACGTCAATAAGAAGATTGTCGATGGAGACCGGCAGTTTCTTCAAGGCTGCTGCAGCGCAGAGGTTGGCCAGGTGACAGATGCATCCAAGACTAAACCCATTGGGTTGGACCTGGCGTACTCGGCTCAGAACAGAGTTTCGAACACCGACCATCACACTCGCACTGTCAGACGCGAAGCCGACAGCGTTTGCCCAGGGAATATCGTACTTGGTCAGCACACTCTGTATGCCCTGAAACAAACGTTCTCCATTGGCGATGTTGATCACAGGCATGTCCAAGAATCTTGTCACCGCACGGCCAGCTTCGCTGTCCCAGTACCGGACAAGAATGGCAAAGTATTTTCTGTCGAGTTGATCATTTCCACCATCGCAAAGAATCGTGAACGGCTGCGTTTTCAAGACGGAGGTGAGTTTATCTTGCAGCATTGGACTGATAGCATGGGTGATCATCGCCTTCGTTTTTGTTTGACCAGCCTGAAACTCCTGCGCAATTTTACTGTCCGGAAACATGACTTCACACAAGTCCGTAAAGTGGTCCGCTAGCGCAAACGGAATGTTGTGTTCAGCAATCATTTTGCTAAACAGAAGGTCAGCGGCGGTGACCTCCTGGCGCCTTGACTGGGGAGCAAACATAGTCATTTTCTGCTGACCACCGGCGATCCGCTCCAACTCCATGTGTTTTTTCGTCTTGCAGTGACGACGATTCAGCTCATGTTCACCACCGCCAGCGATACATACTGTAAAGTCGTGGATAAAAGCCGGGCTTATAAGCATATAAGCCGCTTTCTGCATCAGGCTTTAATGCAAACCATGCTTATATGCACCACTGATATTTTTGCCAGGCTTGTATGCACATCGACACGCGTAGATCTACCACTGACTACCGGTATGGCGGCAGTTTTACTATGCACCGTACATAGCGCATGCACTCTTGAGTCTTGACCTACCCGATCCGTGCTTGCATAGAAGCCAGGCTTCTACGCGCGACAGGCTTATTATATGCATTTTACCCGTTTGATTTTCAGGCTTCTATCCGCGATGTGCTTGTATGCAAACCCGGCTTTTATCCGCGACTTTACGGTACGTGATTCGAGCTCAGCAGACTTTGCAGAACATGTAACTCTTCCCCTTGGAACTTGCTGCTACGCTATATTTCCGAGTCCACTCCTCCTTGAAACAAGCTCTCTTCTTTTTTTCCTGATGCATGTTGTGCCCCGCTTGACGACTTCCCCTTCCGACTGGCACTGCTAGGAGTAGAAACATTTGGCTGGGTCTGCTCCTCGATTTATGTGCAACATGTCACTAAAAGCCCCATTTCGTTCTTATAAAAGCACGGATGACCGCGATTGGCCCTTATGTTGTCTTTTGGACGCTGAGTCGACTGGTTTTGGTCCGAAAAGGCTAGGATGCAGGCGTTCAGCCCTTATTCCCAATCGAACACGGTTGACGAAGCGGTCACGTGCTCGTGCGTACACCAGCCGCCTGGTCACCGTGCCCGGAGGGCGGCGGAGGCTACAACTCACAGCATGTTTGGGGCGCGTTCCTGTCACTGGAGTTGAACCTTTGAACGTTTTAGTTGAACCTTGGTGTGAAAGTTGTAGCCTGTAGGGCTTATTCCTGTCAGTGTTACACTTCTATTCAAATCAGGTATTTCTATGTATGTCAATACTGCTGCTGCTGTGGTCATGTGGTTTTCATCTGTGGCTGTTTCTGTTTGTGCAGGAATTGCTGTGCCCACAGTGTAATGGTGGCTTTGTAGAATGCATGGAGGCTGCTAATGCAGACAGGTAGGAAGATACAACTTCTTGAATTTGCTTTCCTCTTACTCATGTGTACAACTTGTGATTGCAGAAGAAGCTTGAGAAAGGAATATCATTGATCCCTGCTAACGTCCATAGAACTCCTGTATACGTGTGTCTGTGCGGGTGTGTGTGTGTTTGCCGATACGTGTGTCTGTATGTGTCTGCGTTTGTCTGTGTCTGTGTCCGTGTGTGTGCGTGTGGCGGGGGGGGGGGGGGGTATTAGTCTTGCTGCTGCTGCTGCCGCTGCTGTTGCTGCTGTTGTATGCGCCTGACATTACTACTGCTGATCTCCACTGTTCTTTTCTTGTGTTGACAGTGTACCCGCATCTGCATCAGGCAGAGGAGCTACTGCTTCTGCGTCCGGTGGTGGTGGTGATGCTAGCTCATCGGATGAAGATGTCAGTTCTCTACCGGGTCTGTTGAACTTCATGTCGCCATCACGTGTTGCTCAGCAGAGCCACACGTCACGCCGTGGTAGAAACCTGGATCACAACTACTATCAGGAGCAGATGCCCGGTGAGGGGACACATGTCTTGTCGGCTGCTGAAGGCCCCGTAGAGGTTCATCCAGCCATTGAAGCGGTAAGTCGTCACTCCTTGTCACGTTGGACTCGAAAGTGGGACCGTACAACCCTGAGAAATAAAACAACTCCAATTTACGAGCACCTCAGTCTATCGGACACTATGGATGAGTTTTAGTGGAAACACTACTTTTTTGCCAATTTTTGTTGGAATAGTGATGTCATATCCCAGATGTCGGGCCCTTCTCCATCAAAAATGTACAGTCAACTTCGCTAATAACGACTGGGGATATAACGACAATTCGCGAATAACGGCCGAATTTCCATGCCCAGAGCAAAGTCCCATCCAACTGTAATGCATGTAATGATACTTCGGGTATACGGACACTTCGCGAATAAGGACACTTTTCTAATGCCCCGCCGAGACGGCGAGTGTTGTTATATACGCTAAGTTGACTGTACATGCTTCAGAGTGATGAACATTTCCAAGTTCTGGGCAGTCTGCCCGGTCTCAGACTGCCCAGATAAGGGAGATCTGAGTGTACAAGTTTGGTTGCACTGGGATCGTATTGTTGTACAGTTGTCTGAGCGGAGGCACGTTTGAAGCGGTTTGTCCCATGTGCGAGCCACGTCATATTCTGTGCAGCAGCAGCAGTCTGTACCGTGCAGCAGCAGTCTGTACCGTGCAGCAGCAGTCTGTACCGTGCAGCAGCAGTCTGTACCGTGCAGCAGCAGTCTGTACCGTGCAGCAGCAGTCTGTACCGTGCAGCAGCAGTCTGTACCGTGCAGCAGCAATCTGTACCGTGCAGCAGCAGTCTGTACCGTGCAGCAGCAGTCTGTACCGTGCAGCAGCAGTCTGTACCGTGCAGCAGCAGTCTGTACCGTGCAGCAGCAGTTTGTACTGTGCAGCAGCAGTCTGTACCGTGCAGCGGCAGTCTGTACCGTGCAGCAGCAGTCTGTACTGTGGAGCAGCAGTCTGTACCGTGGAGCAGCAGTCTGTACTGTGCAATGCAGTCTGTACCGTGCAGCAGCAGTCTGTACCGTGGAGCAGCAGTCTGTACCGTGGAGCAGCAGTCTGTACTGTGCAATGCAGTCTGTACCGTGCAGCAGCAGTCTGTACCGTGGAGCAGCAGTCTGTACCGTGGAGCAGCAGTCTGTACTGTGCAATGGCTTGAGGAGCCCTTTCTTTCGTCATGCGACCGAAATTTTGTTTTGCAAGGTTCAGTGTGCCGGTGTATACAGGAAGCAGCAGCGCAGGCCGAAATTTATACTATAGCCAAAATTGTGTAGACTTACTGTAGCAGGCATGACCATCCCGTGCCACATTTCTGCTATGGTTACGTACAGCACCTAGTGTTGTGAATTCACGTATGAAGTTGCCACGAGCTCCTTGCAGAACCTGGCGAGGAATTCACGTACGAAGTTACCATTAGTTCCTTGCAAAAGACTTTGCTGCACTACTTGTCACTTCCAGCTTTCTGCCTCTTCGGGGCTCTCCGACTAGTTTTCGAGAACTGTGTTAGGGATGTCAGCGAACGCACTGCGCAGGCCTCTGCGCATGCATTGCATCATCGATTTTTGAACGTGATCGCGGCCGACAGAGAAAACATGGCCGCGGTCTGATTGGCACCTCTGGGAGTCGTAAAATTACTGTTCTTCTGTCCCCGCGACCATTCAAATCATACGCGATACTCGAGGACCCACGTACTCACCACGTTCTCCCCGGTCGATTTCTCTGAAAGTCTGCACATCGTGAAACACCAGTATGAGAGGTGTTCAGGCCAATTTTCAAGGAATTTCCCTGGTTGGATCGTTCCAAAATCGGACTTCCATTTCTCGCTCGCGGCCATTTCTTGCGCGATGGAAGCGCCCTGCCCTGGTGAGTAACCAGCATCGCGCTTGGTAGAGAGTTGCTGCAATCAGCTCCCTGATGTCTTCGCTGCCATTGTCAGAAGCGATGGACCATGAATTTGTTTGAGAGTCTCTGGATGCTACTATTCCTCAGCCTAGTTTTCAGCCATTCCGTGCATCTTCTTCGCACGATTTATTTTGCAAAAAAATGAAAGTGTTCATGAGTTTTCTTGTCGGCCGCGCGTAGATGGGCCAGGCTGACCTGCGCAGATGGGCTGCGCAGTGCGTTCGCTGATATCCCTAACCGTGTTTGGCTACTCCCCTCTTGTCTTCTTGTGAGGCTTGAACTTGTTTGAGAGCCATACGCAAATACGCCCTTAGCTGGCAGCATGGTTGTGCTAATGTTAAAGGTTTGCGGTACAGTGGAATGCCGATAATCCGACCGTCGGCTATCGTCAACTAACCGAACAATCAATTATCCGAAATGCCTGTTTGCATTGGATCGACACGGACAAGAATGACACAAAGCACCGTTCAAATGGTACACAGGATTTATGGCAACGAGTTCGAGTTAGAATGCCTCCCCATAGCGTCATTTTGAGGAGCTGGAGTGTGTTCAGTTCTTGTGACACGGTTAAAGAGAATGAGAAAATTAATTATGAAACGTGAGGGGATATGCATGTTTTAAATGGACGTATGACCGTTCCCTTATCTGAACATACTCAGCCCCACGCCCTGGAGACAGCCCCTACCCGAGGAGTGCGGATAATCGGCACCCTGCTGTCTTTATGTCACTATCTCTTTTTGCATTTCTCCCTGTGTATCTTTTTATTTGTCTGTTTTCTTGTCCTTGTCCGGCGATCTGTGTGTGCTGGCAATCTGTCTGTCTGTATGCGCCTGTCTGTCTGTTGGAATCTATGTTATATTTTTAGCTGGTATCCCATCTTCCTGTTTCAGTCCACGTGCAACCGAACGGTAAGGAAAAGAGATTCTTTTGCTTTTTGCTGTGAGATACGCTTTCAAGTTTATCACGTACCGCACCAGTGGCAGTGCATGGGGTCAGTGCATGGGGTCAGTGCATGGGGTCAGTGCATGGGGTAAGTGCATGGGGTCAGTGCATGGGGTCAGTGCATGGGGTCAGTGCATGGGGTCAGTGCATAGGGTCAGTGCATGGGGTCAGTGCGTACCGGCCTGAACATGTACATCTTGCATTGGGAGGGGGGGGGGGGCATTTACGGTGGACTTTATGGTATAGGGGAAAAAGCAAGGAACCAGAACAATGGATGAAGTACAGCAGAGAGGTGATAGAACGGTGCAAAGAAGAGCAGTCAGAAGCAACAACAGTAAAGGCGTGACCTCTCTCTCTCTCTCTCTCTCTCTCTCTCTCTCTCTCTCTCTCTCTCTCTCTCTCTCTCTCTCTCTCTCTCTCTCTCTCTCTCTCTCACACACACACACACACACACACACGCACACACACACGCGCGCGCGCGCGCGCACACACACACGGAAAGAATATCAAAAATGGTGCAAGTGTTAGGTTTCTTTCATGCAAGACGCCTATTTAAACGTATGTAAATAGAAGCAGATTAAGTTCACACTGCTGTTAGGTAGGTAGTCAACAACTCGCTAGTTATGTCCATTATTGGTCTAGCGCACTATGTAAGTGTTCCATTGACTATAAGAGCAGTGTGATTGCTCTTCAGCTGGTTAAACTTGTACTGGTGCGTTCCTCTTGAAAACGTCTTTCACTGGAGTCTCTGCTATGCCTGTGTGTGTGTGTGTGTGTGTGTGTGTGTGTGTGTGTGTGTGTGTGTGTGTGTGTGTGTGTGTGTGTGTGTGTGTGTGTGTGTGTGTGTGTGTGTGTGTGTGTGTGTGTGTGTGTGTGTGTGTGTGTGTGTGTGTGTGTGTGTGTGTGTGTGTGTGTGTGTGTGTGTGTGTGTGTGTGTGTGTGTGTGTGTGTGTGTGTGTGTGTGTGTGTGTGTGTGTGTGTGTGTGTGTGTGTGTGTGTGTGTGTGTGTGTGTGTGTGTGTGTGTGTGCACGTACATGCGTGTGTGTGTGCATGCGTGTGTGTGTGCATGTGTGTATACGTGCATGTGTGTGTGTGTGTGTGTACGTGCATGTGTGTGTGTGTGTGTGTGTGTGTGTGTGTGTGTGTGTGTGTGCGTACCTTCACATGTGGTTGCTTAGGTCAGCAAGTGTATGTCCACGGACATCATGTTGGATTCGGCAGCGATGGGTGAGTTCATATGGACAGTATATTTAAATTTTTCATTCTAAATGGGGCTAGTATCTCCGTGACGCTGGACAGTTCACTGGCATTGTGAAAGAGTATACACAGACAAAACTCTCGTAGGTTCAAGTCTTAGTAGGAAGTGGTTGGGCAGGGATTCTTCCTTGCTTGTTCGAGTCCACGGGCCGTCTTTGCTGGCTGCCACCATTACGTTGGCTTCGTCTGGAGGTTGGCAGTGGCGTATGCGTGACTTGTACAATGGTGTTGATGACTTCATCAGATGTAGAGTTTGGCAAATATCAAACTGCGTCACTCGTCCTATTAAATGTTGTTCTTTCACGAAATCCCTCTGCGTACGCTCGCTTGTGTGTGTGTGTGTGTGTGTGTGTGTGTGTGTGTGTGTGTGTGTGTGTGTGTGTGTGTGTGTGTGTGTGTCCTCTCTTTGGTGCTGTGGCAACGTTTGGTGGACGACTTTCCAGGCCTATCCATCCCATGGCAAGTAAGTGTACTGCTACCCCCGGGGATATGCCCTCTCTGTGCAGAAGCCGGGTTTCTTCTAGCCCTCTTGTATGTGATGAAATTGCAAAACAAAATGTGTACACATTCTCCTTTGTTTAACTCTTATACTGACTGGCCAGTGGACCCAATGGCGTGTGTGTGTATGTGTGTGTGTGTGTGTGTGTGTGTGTGTGTGTGTGTGTGTGTGTGTGTGTGTGTGTGTGTATGTGTGTGTGTGTGTGTGTGTGTATGTGTGTGTGTGTGTGTGGTGTGTAGGCAGTTGCACACCCTTTGGGGTTATGCACTGTTGGTGTAATGCCATTAGTCACATGGCCTTAGGACGTGTGGCATTTTAGAATGCTGTGGATATTCACTTTCTTGCTCTTCTGTCTTTGTCGTGTGGTTTCTTCTTGTGCGCTGTATGTAGGTCTTATGAACATGATGTTCCAAGGTCCTCACATGGGCGGCATGGGCAATATGGGTGGAATGGGTGGTGCAATGCCTATGGCTGGGTAAGTTGCAATTGCATTCTACGATCAGAGCATCTGCCTTCTCCCGGGATTGTGTTCAAGGAGCTTACCAGATGTGGTATACCAGCATCAGTATTGGTGGCACATTGTCAGGTTTGGCATTGTCTGGCCTGGTCTGGTGCATGGTGCATTGTGCAGTGTGTATTGTGTACTATCTTTCCAAACTGTATGCTATCTACTCATTGGTTTGAGGGAAAGATGCAAGCGCGAAAAGTCTGAAGAAACAATTGACTTTCACCGCCAGGAGTCGAACCAGGGACCTTCGCTTTGAGGCCGGTGATGTATCTTCTACCGTCTTGTATTCGTGCATGGACTAATTGATGAGCACGGAATATAGGTTGAGTACGGAATAATTGGTGAACATGAACTGCTTTTTTTTTTGCAGAAATGCTGCCAGCGTTGTGTGCTGGTGTCCTCCGTTTATAATTGCTGTCTTTGTCTATTGTGTGTCCTATAGGCAAATGGGTGATTACGTCTTTGGACAGGGAGGTCTGGACGCTGTCATTTCACAGGTGAGTTGTTGTTGCTCTTGTTCTTGTTGTACATGTACTGTCACCTTGGTTTGCTGGGCTGGTGGCTGCGCTGGGCTGGTGGCTGCGCTGGGCTGGTGGCTGCGCTGGGCTGGTGGCTGCGCTGGGCTGGTGGCTGCGCTGGGCTGGTGGCTGCGCTGGGCTGGTGGCTGCGCTGGGCTGGTGGCTGCGCTGGGCTGGTGGCTGGGCTGGTGGCTGCGCTGGGCTGGTGGCTGCGCTGGGCTGGTGGCTGGGCTGGGCTGGTGGCTGCGCTGTTGGCTGGGCTGGGCTGGTGGCTGAGTTGGGCTGGTGGCTGCGCTGGGCTGGTGGCTGCGCTGTTGGCTGGGCTAAGCTGGGCTGGTGGCTGAGCTGGGCTGGTGGCTGCGCTGGGCTGTTGGCTGAGCTGGGCTGGTGGCTGCGCTGGTTGCTGGGCTGGTGGCTGCGCTGGTGGCTGCGCTGGGCTGGTGGCTACGCTGGGCTGGTTGCTGCGCTGTTGGCTGGGCTAAGCTGGGCTGGGCTGGTGGCTGAGCTGGGCTGGTGGCTGAGCTGGGCTGGTGGCTGAGCTGGGCTGGTGGCTACGCTGGGCTGGTGGCTGCGCTGGGTTGGGCTGGTGGCTGGGCTGGGCTGGTGGCTGAGCTGGGCTGGTGGCTGCGCTGGGCTAGTGGCTGCGCTGGGCTGGTGGCTGGGCTGGGCTGGTGGCTGGGCTGGGCTGGTGGCTGGGCTGGTGGAGTTCGAGCTGCGGGTGTTCTGGTTGCTGACAGTTCTACAGCAGCTTCTGTTATTGCTGCTGCTGCTGCTGCTTCTGTTATTGCTGCTGCTAGTGCTGCTGCTAATGCTGCTGCTAATGCTATTGCTAATGCTAATGCTGCTGCCAATGCTAGTGCTGCTGCTGCTGCTGCTAGTGCTAGTGCTATGAATTTGGGACCTAAGGCTATGTCCCTGGTCCTCAGTATTGTCATGTAAACTACGATAAAACGCCGATTATCCGGGCGTCAACTATCCTGATGATCGGTTGTCCAGGTCGCCTGGTCGGGCTGGACAAAAAATAGCAGCTTTTCAAGGTTTTTGGCTGATTTCCCCCACTCGGAGCACCATTCAAGCCCTGCACAAGATGTATTACAACAGGTTGGAGTCAAAATGCATAAAGATAGTGTCATTTTGAGGAGCTAGAGTGGGCCTAGTTCCTGTTGTACTGCCGAAGGGCATGACATTTTTGAAGTTCGCGGCACGATGAGCTATCATGAGTTCTACAATATTTCTGACAAAAAAATGTTCGCTGTTCTGTTTCATTGGGGAATGCTGTTCTTACTGCTCCAGTGAATCTGACCTGAATCAGGATTGACCAATCAAACGTGCCCAACACACAATCATTATGATTAATATTATTATTAACTTTTATTTTACTAGGGTGTTTCCCACAGACCTATGGTCTTCTTACGGGAGCCCCTAGGAAGGTTAAGCATGAGCACATTCACACTTACAGGCACAGCCCTCCACTTGTTTGTCTCCTTCGCTCCTTCCCTTTCTCCCAACACCTTTCACCATTGCTGCTACCATCCACACATACATAAATTTCTAGCACTACTGTTTCCCCACATTTTCATCACTTTCCTACAGCACCACACAGCATATCTACCGGTACTCGTTTCAGTTTTTGTTGGCATTAGTTGACTGTTTTCACCCTGAAGATGGGCCATGCCCAAAAATGTGGTGAATTTAATTAGAGTGACTTGTGCAGCGAGCGGACCATATTTTGAACGTTCGAGTTGAGGTACCCTAATGTGTAATAGGGTATTCACACGATGTGAAACTGAACGAAAACACGTTTGTGTAAAAGTGGACAAGCTGCCCATCGGATTCACACAGACAAAAGACCCGTGCAAATCTCGCGTGCGTCTGTGTACTCATTGTAACTTGAGTGCCATACTCAAGTACTTTCGCTGTTTTTACACACGCTCAAAGGACAGACGTGGGCCTAGGACCCCCGAGCAAGTTTATCAAGTGTTGCACATGCTCAGGTCACACGAGTAAAAAGAGTACCACACACGTGAGTTTGCGCGTCGTGTGCATCCCCTATAAGTGGCTGCAATGGAGTCTACGACTGCTTAGAAAAGCTTGCTTGTCGATAAATGTAAAGTACTCTCTCTCTCTCTCTTTCTCTCTCTCTCTCTCTCTCTCTCTCTCTCTCTTTCTCTCTCTCTCTCTCTCTCTCTCTCTCTCTCTCTCTCTCTCTCTCTCTCTCTCTCTCTCTCTCTCTCTCTCTCTCTCTAATAGCGACACAATATAATATGGAGATTTTTGTGTTGGTGTGGGTGTGCTGCAAACTGTTCCCAGCTGATGGATTCGATGGATGGACCTAGACCAGTTCCTGTCAGCCAAGACGTAATAGCTGCGTTGCCAAGAGTGCCTATATCTAAAGCTGACCAAGGTAAGGGGACTAATCTCTTACCTGTCGGTGTGTATGTGCGTGTGCGTGGGTGTGTGTGTGTGTGCGCGTGTGTGTGTGGGGGGGGGGGGGGGGTGTGTGTATGTGTGTACAGATCCACTCTGATTTGACCACCCACACTAGTAGCAAGTACAGTAGGTATCGGTTATAGCGTGGGTGTTTGAAAAACGACTTTCTATTCTTATTTCCGATATTTCTTACACACGATAAATCAAGTGTGACATATCATGTACATGTGCGCAGAGGCAGGAAGATCATCGTACATACAAGGTAGTGCTACTGTGCATGCGGCTGGTCACAGTCACATAGGCTTTAATACCATGTGGCTATGCAACATGAGTTACATGACCACAATAGTTGAACCTGCAACACTAGGACCCAACGCGAGTCAGATCAGAACTGCTTTGGACGGATGTTATTACTATAGGCGACATACTTTGTACTGATCTGGCATGTTTCGCTACACAAAGTCCATTCTTAGGACCGATATATTCTACTGTACGATAAAATTGCTTGTAAGAATAAATGTGCACATGAAATCCATGTTATGATTATGAAAACATGAGCGTTCATTCTTGTAGGCAGTATATTCTTTTACACGACCACGCTATAACCGATACGCACTGTATTGCCTTCCCTGGAGGCAGGGGTAACTGCAGTTGGATCCTGGGACGGATACCCTGATGCCGTCAATCCTTTTTCTGCACCTTGTCCTCACCCACTTACTGAGGTGTGGTGAGCCCATAAGTGGGATCATTTTCAAGTCCACCCATAGTTTGGGGATTTCAGGGGGTGTCAGCCGTTGGGCGGTTCAATAGCCAGTTGAGTCGTCTTTCCAAGATTCCTTTGAGTCTCTCTCCCCTCTCCCGGGGAGACCCACGTCACCAGTTTTGGCCGTGAGCAACAAGTACATGTGTGTGTGTGTGTGTGTGTGTGTGTGTGTGTGTGTGTAAGTGTGTAAGTGTGTAAGTGTGTAAGTGTGTAAGTGTGTGTGTAAATGTGTGTGTGTGTGTGTATGTGTGTGTGTGTGTGTGTGTGTGTGTGTGTGTGTGGTAAGTGTGCGTGTGTAAGTGTGTAAGTGTGTGTGTGTGTGTTTCTGTTTCCACTGGAGATTGTTGTTGTAAGATGTATGTAACTACAGTTAAGATATGGAAGAATCTCTAATCTCACCCCGGTGTAGTGAAACATCCTGTGCTGGACAAGATTGGTAGTGTTGCTTATGCTGCAGCTACTGCACCACTGCCACTGTTGCTGTTGCTGCTGCCGGCATTACTACCGCTATCGTTGCTGCCATTACTGCTGTGGACATTGATGAAATCCAATGGGATGACCGGCACTAGTGCCCTTACTGTCTTTTAGCATGAAAATGGACCAGCGCTCAGCAGTGCTCGCGCCTGCAAGGCCAGTGCCCCGCGGCCGCTTGACTTCTCAACGGATTTCAATGTCCACGGCAGTGTGTGACCTCTAGTCTTTTACCGGATGCTGTTGGTGTTCGAATACAGTTGCAGCAGTCTACCTCTGCCCCCCCCCCCCACACACACACACTTGTATGTGTTTGTATTACAGGCTAACATCTTCTTTTTTTTGAACTCTATTGAATGTAATATCGGGGTGGGGGTGCTCGTATTGGTGGCCAGCATCATGTTGTCATTTTTCTTCTCGCTCTTTGTTGTCTGTGACACTGTAGAGAAGCAATCATCATGTTCCGTGTGCTTTGATGAGTTTGAACTGGCCGAGGAGACGATTCAGCTACCCTGCTCTCACTCCTTTCATCCCAACTGTATCCTACCCTGGCTGGAACAGGTTAGTTGTTGGACTGACTCCACCGCCACCGCCGACGACGACGGCCATGATTGCGTGTGTGTGTGTGTGTGTGTGTGTGTGTGTGTGTGTGTGTGTGTGTGTGTGTGTGTGTGTGTGATCCCCGGTAGCCTAATCGGCAGGGCACTGTCCCAGAAAGACAGGGGTGCTGGGTTCGAATCACGCTTGTGGATCCTTCTGTTGCTGACTCATGGCTTGCCTTTGTGTCCTTGGTCTGTATTGTTCTCATTCGATTTCCTTTGCAGCACAACACGTGTCCGGTGTGTCGCAAGACTGTCGACGGCCAACCAGAGCCCACCACCGCGGAGCAGTCAGCAGCAGCAACACCTTCTGCCAGCACGAGTGCTGCAGCCACGGGCGGTGTTGCAAGCAGGGTCACAGCGACCAGCGCTACTGGCTCTGCAACAGCAGCAGCAGCAAGTGGGCATAGCAGTAGCCGACAGCAGCCTGCAGCAGCTGGTGCCACGGCTGCAGCGTCAGGCCCGCAGTCTTTGCCAGCGTCGGCGTCAGCTACCTCTTCAAGTCCGGATGATACACAGACGTTGATAGACTCAGTTGCTCAGAATGTCAATGCGCTCTTCGGTCGCCTGGGGCCGGGTTACTTTGGTTCTGCAACACAGAGACCATCGCAAGCGGGGTCGCAGCAGACACGGTCACAGACATCATCGCAAGCGGGGTCGCGGCAGACACGGTCACAGACCACAGCCGCTGACCAACAGTCATCCAGCGTCGATCCGGAACCCAGCGAGCAAAATGCCGAGGACACCTAAGCACGGCAACTGAACTCTGGTGTGGAAAGGAACATTAAGTCTTGTAGGCGTGATGTGAACCCACTTTCTCTCTCTTGTTGTTAGCCTCCCGTGTGTCCAAGTAGATTTTTACCCCTCTCGCTTGATAGTAAGTGTGAGGCCAGTCTTGTTTGGTGTCATCCATGATCAGCTCATGATGTCCTATCTTCTGACCGCAGCAGCAGCAGCATCGCCTGTATTGTTTAGTCCTTGCTGCCATGACAATCGGCAAACGTGCCCTTGGATGCCTGGCGCCAGTGCCTGGCATGCGTATGCCGTTCACTGCGCTAGCATACATGGTAGATGCACGTGTGCTGTCACGGCAGCAAGCTAGCTCTTCGTGCCATCTACGGCAGCACTAGCACTTGCTTGATCGGCTGCTGTCCAGTGTGCGGCGGCGATGGCTGCATCCCTGAACAGGTAGTATCTTCTTCGGGTCCAACACGTTCCCTCCGGCTCAGTGTACCGCAGACCGAATAACATGCGAGACCACATGCGCTCGCTGGTGCACGCACGTGCATTCCAATTAGTTTCTTACGAGAAGACATTGGCCGAGTCAGGCCGGACGTTTTTTAATGTACATACGCGTCCTTGTACGTAGCTGTTCCTCTGCACATACTATACCATGCATATCCAGAAAAGCTCTTCTTGTCGTTTTACCGCCTGCCGGCTACGGTCATATTCAGTGTCTGAGCAATATCGCCATGTGTCACTATCTTAACTTATGTACAGATCTGCTCTCTGTGGGTGTAACGTTGCCGTCCTCCCTCCCTCCCTGCCGAGTCTCTTGTTTTATTCCCCCTGCGCGCTCGTGCACGTAACCTGTTTCCTAGCTCATGATTACTCTTTCGCCGTACGTGTGTGGTCTATTTAAACCTTGCTTGTCAGTTTACCGGGTAGGACGTGTACTGCTGTCACCCGGCGGACTACGAACCGTGAGAGATGGTGCGTCCTCGGCTGTGTGGCACGCCTGTATCTGTTCAAATGTGCCCTGTCCCTACTTGTCTTTGTCCATACTGCGTGGCCTTTTTTCTTCCTTTTTTATGCTGCCAGTCAGTGTCTGTAGATTATATATCTATTACGATATGCGCTTGCTGCATGTGTACGTAATCTATTACGATATGCGCTTGCTGCATGTGTACGGCCACTGTTGTGTTCGGATTTTATCGAGATGTTTTCCTCGCATCATCTTATTCCGAGGGAGTTGGAATTCCCAAGTCGCCGCGGCCCGGCGTTGCGTTTCTATTATTAATTGTGTGCCTGTTGCAAGACGATGGTCATCATCTGGTTGCGTCGCTGCACAAGCAAGCTATTGGCTGCGCTGCTGCTGCTTGGCCCCGTGCCTAGGTGTCTGTTACCTGTTTAGTGGGCCGTAGTGGCCAGCTCTCGAACCGCCTCGTCATGGGCTCAACGTTAGGGCGCAGACTGGATTAACCGTTATCATGGTTATGTTATAACCGTACATTACATCGTCACATTGAAAGCGCACACATGGGCCTACACAGTGATTTTTTAAACAAAAGGAATGTTTTGGCTTTTAGCACACAAACTCGCTTGCGTGCACATGCCCGCGCGCATACACAGACACACGCCAAACACACTAGTACTGTTGTACATTGTGCAATTAAATATTGATACCGTATGCCAACAATGGACTCGGACGGAGAGCCAACGATAAAATTAATGTATTATAGAAAAGAAAAAGGACCAAGGAACTACAAGTTACGCTATAATAGCCACTAACACCACCAGTTACTAAACAATCAGCTCATGGATATGCCAACACTTGACATTATTTTGATAAGTTTCATGGATAAGGAAGCACTGGTGTGCATGTGGGATGATTATAATAATGCCATAATTAAATAGACTGGTGTTTTCAGAGTGGATACACGTCTTGACTTTGTACCGATACAATGTACTTCAAGTACGCAGTTCTTTTTCAGATCGGATCGTACATGTGCATCATCCTTCAAAGCGGTGAACCCATTGATAGGCGACAAGCCTTTGGGTTATCCTAATAAAGATATTATTCTCGGACAGTTTGACGGAACAAAATGTGGCACGTTGGAAAGTGCCCTGGATAAAATAAGCTTCTATTTACATCTAAAAAAAAACTTCAAGTACAAATTGTAACGGTCTGTTTGCGGTTGCACTCCACTCCAACCACCAGATGCCATGTACTGTCTAGAGGCTGACCATGATATTCAGTCCTACTGAATGGTCGGGGTGATGGTGATGGGCTGGTTTGTGGGAGATCGTCCCTGGTGCTACGAGCACACGTGCTGTGTGCAATTTTTTGTTCTGTTTTGTTTCTTTTATTCGGATTAGTTTAGAGCACGGGCAATTCTGCCTTCTGCCCAGAGGAAAACCACCGGTTCCTACTATATACTAAGAACGAATAAAAATATGAGAGAAGGAAATATTAAAAAGAATCATAAGATGAGAATTCCAAGAAGTTAGTATGATGAATGGGGGATCATGCACACTGCTTAAAGTATATGCTACTACTGGTATTCCCAGGTAGTGCGCTATGCCCTGCCGCTGCCGTGGTATAGCACTCTTCACCACCGTCATACACTGTACTGATCAGGCTTTGGTGCACGCCGGCACACGCCATGGTGGCATGCAGTGTTGCTGCTCAATGTGCAGCAGACAAATCACATGATCCATGCTGCAGACAGGTCACATGACCCATGCTGCAGACAGGTCACATGACCCATGCTGCATATTATATAGGTCACATGGCCTACGCTGCAGATAGGTCACATGACCCATGCTGCAGACAGGTCACATTACCCACGTTGCATATAGGTCACATGGCCTACGCTGCAGATAGGTCACATGACCCATACTGCAGAGTGCAGACCTGCATGCCAGTGTGCAATACAATAGCTCCGACTGTAAGTTCCACATTGCTTCCACATCATGGTGTGCACCCCGTGAACATGTATTAGCTAACCTCCGACTGTCTGCGCACCTAGAGCTGTGGGATGAGCGTTGCTGGCATGCCTTGGTGGAGGGTGATAGTGCTCAGCTACCGTGTGTGTCTGATGATTGGCCAATCACAATCTCGCCGCACGATGAAACCATTGGGATGCTAGTGACCTGCCGGTGATGTCACCATCCCCCGGCAGGTGAGGATGTTGCGGAGGCGAGGCAGTCTGTACCATGCCGGGACAGATGGATACATGGATACGGGTATGGCTGTACGGGCATGGTTGCAGAGAGCTCACCATGATGTGCGCGTGCGGGGCGACTGTTGCTGCCAGTAGTACAGGATTGTGTTAGTCTTGATGGGGCAGTCACCTCAGTACATAGTGGCGTGGTGAATTCAACCATGACTGCGACGGCGATAAACTCTCCTCCTCTTGTGACACGATATGACTTGGCGGCGAGTCCCTATAGAGAAGGAACTCTCTCATAACGCCGGGCAGCGACAGCTGTGAAACGGCAACACTGCACGACGTAGTTAGATGCGATCGGATTGTAAAGCGTGCCAGCGTTTGCAGGGAATGAACTGCATGGCGACACAAAAAATCAAACAAGCAAACAGAACTGTCAATACTTGGCCGGACATCGTCACCCGCTCATGCACATGATTTACAGCACGGACTGCTTTGTTTTCCAGTGCCCAAAGTAAAGGGGGGGGGGGGTTGCATTCCCTGCCGGCTTCATTGGCATGCAAGTCGCGACCAACCAGGTCCTTACTTCAGCACAGTAAGCCCTGTCAAGGCGACCACTCGGATAAGGCAACCACCTGTTCAATTGACCCTGGATAAGGAGACCACCTGGTAACAGAGACCACATTTTGAAGGTCCCTTGAGCACTTGTCTTACACATGTTTCACTAGCTGTAGCTATTGTCTATTAGTACTGTAAAGCGTGAAATTTTCGCGGCGTTTTTAGTTTGCGTTTTCAGAATCCGGACAGGTTTGCGAGGTTTTAATTTTGCGATTGCAGAATGGCATTCTTGCTAAACCTGTGACATTCTTGCTAAACCTTTCATGGATCTCCTTTTCGCGCTGTCTAAATTTCGCGATTTCCACGCGGTCGCGAATTTCGCAGAAATTAGACCATGGCAATAATTTCACTGTTTACAGTATATAGTGTGCTAGAGTGCATGTAAATCATGTAATCATGTACGTGCATGCCTCCATGATACTACAGTCATCGCGCTCTGTGAAATCCGACCCGGAGTGCATATTGGGCAGGAAATTGGCGCCCTCAACTTGCACGGCCCGTGACGCCCTGAAAGTGTTACGAACGCGGCGGGGCGTTCACACGTACACACGTACATGTGTGAGGCGGGGCGTACACACGTACACACGTACATGTGTGCGGCGGGGCGTACACACGTACACACGTACATGTGTGCGGCGGGGCGTACACACGTACACACGTACATGTGTGAGGCGGGGCGTACACATGTACATGTGTAGTGATGTATTCGGAACTGGTCCAGAGCGTCAGTTTTGGAACTTCGGGTGCGATATCAGTGCGCGATATCAGTGTGCGCAACTGTTCATGTGAGCAGGGCACGCGGTGGTAAACTTCAACAAATAAATGACACCGTAACGTTCTCGAATAGAGCAGCGCGGGGAGAGAGCAAGCGGGAGAAGGGGAGGGGAGGGGGGGGGGGGAGGAGGAAGTAACCATACTTGTGGCTGTGGTGGATTGGTCACAGATCATTCTCCACCGAATAGCATAGCACTCACCGGGCTTGGGCTCATCTTCGGTGTCCAACGCTCTGCTCTTGGCTCCAAACCAGTCCGGCTTGTTCAAATGGTCACTGTACTCGCGTAGGAGATAGCGCACCGGAGTCGCCACTGGCACTGGGCTAGTTGCCACCTGGAAACAGTTTAGACCGTCTCTATTGGAGAGGTATGGGTCAGCACCATGGTCTAGCAGTACCTGCACGCAGTCCATGTGTGCACCTTTGACAGCCATGTGCAGTGCCGTGTCCCACTGCTTGCCGCGCTCATTCACACTACTACCTGTACATGATCGTGATGTCGGGGGAGGGGGGGGGGGGGTGGGGCAGGCATGGACACGTGCATGCAGTACACAACCGTGTGAGTCCAAACACACACGCACGCACCACACGCATACACATACACACATACACACACACACACACACACACACACACACACACACACACACACACACACACAAGCACACACGCACACAGGCAAACAGCACAGCCAACTTGCCCACAGGATTCGAACTAAGGCTGCAAATGATGGACATCATAACAATTGAATGTACTTTGTAACACATAATCAGGACAATGACTCTCTCAACAGCAGGCAGGTACCCTCTAAATACGATAACTCACTACGGTTTCTTTTATGAACCTTCATCAACTGATCTTGCCATTCATCAACCTTGATCAATGTGTCCTCCGACCAGCTGTTAAGCCATGGGCACCGTAGGTCGGTTCTCAGTTGGACTAGCGGATTGAGCTTGAAGCCTTCAATCCGGAATGCCTCCAGGATGTATATGCGTGTGTGTGAGGGGGGGGGGGGGGGCAACCATGTTTTATGGTGCCATCTTGAAAAGCAGAGACAGTGAGAAGTAGTACTCGTATGGACAACGGAGCATGGCACTGTCACACAATATAGCATCCACGTTGACAGTTCAATTCAGTCAATGCAAAGTATATGACTGCCCTACAGAAGGTATGAGCATCAAATACACATGCACACACCCTACAAATCCACCATTCTGAGTGAGATACACATAGAACGTACCAGCATCGACTAACAGTGCAACACACTGGCTGTGACCACCGCAGGCCGCTTCATGAAGAGCTAAGTTGTCACCCAGGTCGCGCACGTCAGCACGGGCACCGGCCTCTAGTAGCGCTTGAACACTGAGTGCAGTGCCTTCACGCGATGCCTCGCTCAATGCCGTCACCTGCAAACATGCATACATACATAGACACATACACATGGATATATACACACACACACACACACACACACACACACACACACACACACGCGCACACACACACACACACACACACACACACACACACTAAATTCCTTGGGCACCCAAGGCTGTAAGACGTCTATTCGGTTGGCTTTCCCATGTAAGGTACACACACACAAAAAGTGCACAGATTTTGTCGATGCACACAGACGAAAAGTAAAAGACCTCTCGGCTCTCACCCGTATTTGATCCTTTGAATCCAGTGGACATCCAGCGTCAATGAGAATCTTCAAACACAGTGGATGTTGCTCTCTAGCAGCCCAATGCAGTGCTGTCCAACCCATACTGCCTGACAACAGCAACATGAACAGCAACGACGACAAACGACAAAGATGACGACGACGACGACGACAGCAGCAGCAGCAGCAGCAGCAGCAGCAGCAGCAGCAGCAGCAGCAGCAGCAGCAGCAGCAGCAGCAGCAGCAGCAGCAGCAGCAGCAGCAGCAGCAGCAACAACAACAACAACAACAACAACAACAACAACAACAACAACAACAACAACAACAACAACAACAACAACAACAACAACATCAACAAAAACAACATCAACAACAACAACAACAACAACAACAACAACAACAACAACAACAACAACAACAACAACAACAACAACAACAACAACAACAACAACAACAACAACAACAACAACAACAACAACAACAACAAAAAACAACATCAACAACAACAACAACAACCCTCTTTACTCTGGTGAACAAGTTTGGATATTTGGTGGCTTCAAATTACCACAACACACAAGCATTATCAGTATGCATGTGTGTGCAATGCTAGCTCATCACGCCACTACAGATGCAGCTGGGTAAATGCACTGTGCCATTGAATGATATGCAGTAAAACCTGTAACTAAAGACCACCGTGACTACAATACCGACCAGCCTAGTACTACAGAGCACTTCGCCAGGCACGGACAGTCTCACATTCATAATGGTTGTGCGGTGCAAACCTCTCTAACTAAGGATCACCTGCCACTAAAGACCGCTTTCTCTGGCCCCAAGCCAAGGGTGGTCTTTAGTCACAGGTTCTACTGTACAGTGTTGCTCAGTGAAATCAGATCGCAAGGTTAAGTCACGTTTGCGCCCTGCACCCGTTCGTATACCAGTGTTCGCAGGTCTAGGGTTGCACAGCGCTCCGCCGCACACATGACCAGCATGATCGGATTTCACTAAGCAGCAATGCATGTGTCAGTGTGATTGGGTTGGTGTATACTCAGTGTGATTGGGTTGGTGTATACTCAGTGTGCCGGATTGGGTTGGTGTATACTCAGTGTGATTGGGTTGGTGTATACTCAGTGTGATTGGGTCGGTGTATACTCAGTGTGATTGGGTTGGTGTATACTCAGTGTGATTGGGTTGGTGTATACTCAGTGTATTCGGGTTGGTGTATACTCAGTGTGATTGGGTTGGTGTATACTCAGTGTGATTGGGTTGGTGTATACTCAGTGTGCCGGATTGGGTTGGTGCATACTCAGTGTGATTGGGTTGGTGTATACTCAGTGTGATTGGGTTGGTGTATACTCAGTGTGATTGGGCTGGTGTATACTCAGTGTGATTGGGTTGGTGTATACGGGTACTGTAAATGGCCTAATGTGTGCGCGTATTTATGTTTGCTAATTCTGCGAGAAGAGTATATTACGCAAATATTAACAGTGAGTGTATATAATGTGGTCACAGTGCTCCTCGGACATTTGCCATCGTAAACTCGCTGGTTCTGAGAGATCGCAAAAAAAGTAGTGACGCAAACATTGGGCGGTTTCCAGTACTCGGAGTGGCTCTTACATTTCGCTTTGACGTTAGCCCCATGTCGAAGCAGTACACTCAGGCATTGGTCACGGCCTGGCTTGCGACACTGTGCCGCTAGGTGCAGCGCCGTCTCGTCCCAGGCATTGCGTGATGCTACGTCGGCGCCATGCGATAGCAGGCACTCTACGCAGTCGGCACGGCCTTCTTGGCATGCAAGCAGCAGTGCAGAGTAGCTTTGGAAGTTTTTCAGATCTACCAGCTCCGGGCTAGCACAGTGTACGAGGATGGACTGCAAACACGTCACATGGCCCAGCTTTGCGCATACATGTACCGCCGTGCTGCCACTCGGGTACAGGCGACCACCATTCCGCGACACCAGCAATCTGCGTGCCTTGCGTCGCGTCAACCGCGACAGCAATGTATCGACGTCACTGGCTTGTCCCAAAACGGCTGCCCTCAGCAAATCCTGGGCACGGGGTGTGGAGTTGTTCCCAACACCAACCAAAGACGTGCGATGTCCATCACGTCTTGCGCCAAGTAAGCGTGCAAATAATTCCGAACTTCTGCTCTCCTCGCTCGGGTTTTGACGGAGTTTCGGGGCAGGTGCGGGGATGCTCGCGCTTACAACCTCATATCGCCTGCTCGGGGTGCCAAATCCTCCACCTTCGCCCGCCGACGGCCCTACGCCCATGCTTGCGTTTAGTACTTCACGCGCCACACAGATAGGCCAAGCATGTAGGCAAAGACTGGCACCACCGCCCCAACACTCGGTGAGCTGGGATCAGCAGATTAGCCTCAGCTTCCACATCAGCTGATTTTCTCCTTGAAGACCTGGTGAAGTGCAGCGAAGCGTAAAACAGCACAGCCACCCAGTGCTTACTGACGCACCGTGCAAACTACACGAGCCACGAGCGAATGTCTGAACTCCATCACGATGTCCAGGCTATAGCCTATGCTTACACCACGCTATCCCCACCTGCTCGCTAGCTCCTTGCATAACCAAAAGGGTGTTCGACCATGCTTCGAAGTTTCGCATCGCTGTACTTATCGACAGCAGAAACAACTCGTTAGCCTTCTTCCCGTAAAAGCACCAACTCATCCACAACGTAGAGTAGTAATCATGGTAATCATTTTGAAGAAAAATGATTACAAACAGGTGTAGCTAGCTAGCGACGTAGATCTACGTAGCTGCATGCATCATACAGACATACGTTCATATCATAGCTAGCTCCACGCACTCCTTCCACATAATAATGGCACGTGACATGTGACACGATCCAGCGAGTTTTAGAAGTGTGACAGTCTGACAGATTGACAGGTGCACAGACACTTGACGTGCAGGCATGCACTGACCGTGCAGCTGTACTGTATGTATTGCACTGGTACATGGTAACGACGTCTACATCAGTACATGTTATCAATATCATGGTTATGATCGTGCATGGCATGGTGATGAGATTGATTTTTTTCAGTCCTCACAAAACTATTGTCATAATTAAATGGCTGATCTAATGTCGAGCCAGACGCGCCTCAGCCTGGACAAGGTCGACAGGCGCGAGGTCGAAGCGACGACGGGTCGGCGAACAGAGCGCGATCCACGGACGCAACGGATGGCAGATCTGGCAAGAGAAAAAATGCCAAGCAGCACCGCAGCCAAGCTACAACCCGGCTATGCAGCGTTGCGTTTGGCGGCCAAGCCATGCGCCAGCCTCTTGACTACTAGTACTAGTACTACGGCTGCTTCAGAACCCATCCCACCACAGGAGGAGAAGACTAACGGTGTGAAGGAGCCATGCTCAACCTCATTGACACGTTGCACGCTTCTTCTCTCCTTCGAACCTTCGGTAGAGGGAGGGGGGGGGAGACCTGGACCGATAGCTTGACGCGTGGGGATAAAACACCCTTGTATCAAAGAATGCGTTGGCTATCGGTCCAGAATCCCTTCACCCGCAGGTCGGCACGGGCATCAGGATCAGTGTTGGCTGACCGATGGTGAAAGGTTTTACCAGTTAGGGGCTGCAATGGTGGCTCCACCTCCACATCATGATGGAGCTCCTTCATGCACGACGCGAGGAAGTCGCGGTGGGATCATTGTGTCGCATGTTGATGAATCCCGACAGCTTGCAAATTTGGGCATGGTCAACTGAGAACCCTGAGCCACAGGGACAGGATGCTGGCAGGTTCTCCAGAGGCCAACAGTACCGGAACCGGATATGATCATGGAAATCACCCTTCACATCAAAGCTGAAACCGTGCTCAGCCATAGGGACGGTGGTCAGGGTACTGGACCCGCCCTTCTCGCGTGCCAAGGACATTGCTCGCTGTTGTGGCTGCGGCAGGCGGTCTTGGATGGCAGTCGCTGTTGCGCCCAGTACTGCGCGGTGGCGAATTCGCACTGCCGACTTAGTTGCCTGGTCCAGCCGAATGCTCTCCAGCAACTCCGATCCGCCGGTGGCGATCTGAGCTGCGAGGTGGGCGGTGCACTCCGAAGACGCAGCATGCTCGCGTGGAGAATCCTCAACAGGGTTGTCGAAAGACACGCCTCCATGTCGAGCAGGCAGAGCCACCATCTCCATCTCCAGATCGCTCTCTTCATGCTTGGTCAGAGCTGGCAGTAGACGGCTGCGAATAGCATCCTGTAGAGGCTGCATGTGATCATCAACAGTGGACATAGTGCGTTGGAGGAATGGTAATGAGATTGATTGATGACTCGTATTCGTTAGTAATAGTTGGTCATGACATCATAACTTCGAATGATAATACTCATTCGAAGTTAGCATGGTCACAGAGTTGCATCATGTGGGCAGGCATGGGGTCCCGGAGTCGGAAGACTGTGAAGTTGTGGGCAGCGTGGAGCTACTGACTGACTCTGTACAATCATGCACATGTACATGTACATACAATGACTTGTCAAAGTCAAAACTAAGGCTTACTATTGTTACTCAATCTCCGTTAGGCATATGCGGATAATGCCGGCAGAAAAAATGGCAGAATTCGGTACTTTTTCTGGTAAGTTTCATGCATGTTTGGTATGTGGATAAAGAAATGGAGCAGAATTCGAGGAATTGCCCGCCATAAGGTTTGTATGGTTCTGCCTATTTCACTGCTTTTCGAGCAGAATCTGCCACCTTTTCGAGCATTATCCGCACACCCCTAATCTCCGTACAGCAGTACAGTATAAGTACCCCATGGCCCACTCTCCTCGGCCTCGCTTGTGACTCTCTCCTCGGCCTCGCTTGTGACTCTCTCCTCGGCCTCGCTTGTGACTCTCTCCTCGGCCTCGCTTGTGACTCCGGTCTACTATGGTCTACAGATTCGTCCGGCAACTGTGTGCTGCAAAACTGATTGGGTTAGCATGGTTAGTGGCGGTCCATAGGCCATACATGTAGGTGAACCTGGATGTGGAAGCCATGGGAGTGAACAACATATTATTTAATTACTGAGTCCGTCATTAGACTAGGTTTCTCCACAGCAGTAGGAGGATTGTGAGCAGTCTTCAGCCTTGGGTTTGCCTGGTCCTATGTCCACCGAGCTAGTCATGCAGTGTTTGCCTTTATCTAGAACTCCCGTACAAGTCAGAAGTGTAGGCACACCTGCAGTATTCGATACTCTGTAGGTAGAGCATTATTCACACACATGCGAGAGAGAGAGAGAGAGAGAGAGAGAGAGAGAGAGAGAGAGGGGGGGGGGAGAGACAGACAGACAGACAGACAGACAGACAGACAGACAGACAGACAGACAGACAGACAGACAGACAGACAGACAGACAGACAGACAGACAGACAGACAGACAGACAGACAGACAGACAGACAGACAGACAGACAGACAGACAGACAGACAGACAGACAGACAGACAGACAGACAGACAGACAGACAGACAGACAGACAGACAGACAGACAGACAGACAGACAGACAGACAGACAGACAGACTGACAGACAGACAGACAGAGTAATAATAATAAATAAATTATCGTGTCCGTTCCCAGAGAGAGAGAGAGTGGGGTTTGCTATCTACTCACACTGATTGGTGCTAAGGATATGCAGGTCTGATCGGATGGCTGTTTGGCTTCAGCCGAGGAAGTGCAAGCGCCACCAGTCCATGGCAACCAAGGACAAGTACACAGACTACACCACACGTTTCTAAGAATCCAGACACTCATAATACTCTGTGTTACGAAAACGGAGTCTCTCAACGTTCACCGAATGCGCAGGCCCGACCCATCCTCGGATTGCAACAATGAACAATATAGCCCAGTCTAACGTCGAGCGGTTAAATTGAACAGACCTGATGCGAGGCACACTAGGTAGAAAGTGACAAGATATTAATATTGTGCGAAACATGTCAGCTTAGCCTTAGGTGTGGACGTGTCTCGGGGCGGTGGTGAAATGTTCTAGGAGGAAAGGAGGGCCTGAGAGAAGTGGGAGCTGTGTTTGTTGGTGAATTTGCTAGTGCGAAATAGGCATGGAACGCTGTAAAGCTAGCTGGAGCGTGTGACGACAAATATTTGCTAAGAGTGAACACAACCAGCTAGCACAACACATACATGTACAACAAGTAAACATGACGTCATAATGTTGTGCCATCAAGGAGCTTACATGTACACTGAAACCTGTCTAAGACGACCGCTCAAGGGACCTTCGGAACGTGGTCTCTGTTACCAGGTGGTCTTCTTATACAGGGTCATTAGACTGGAAATAGCATCTCTTGGTCCTGGTTGCAGTGGTCTTCCAGGACAGGTGGTCGCCTTTTCCGAGTGGTCGCCTTGACAGGTTTTACTGTACATGTACATGTATGTACTCTTTGTGCCATGTTTAGAATGTGTGTGCAATGTCACAGTCAAAGTCTATCGGCCCGTACCGGCATACTTCGCACTGTGTCCTGTAGTCTTCAGCTTCAGGCAGTTCAGCCACAATAAAAAAATTTAAAAAAATTCGCGGTTCGCGTGAGACTCGGCTGGAAGCCGAGTTTTCCGCATCCGCCGTGGGAACGCCACCACCCTCTAGGATCAAAGGACTCTAGGATCAAAGAAGCAAGGATCAGCCACAATCCTTGCTTAATTAAAATTAACAGTACGACACCTACATGTACTTCAAGTATATGTACATGTATCACCAATGATAGGACAGTAAATAATATCACAGCCTCCGTCACAGCATCTACATGTATTCTATAGTTAGGAATATTGGAACATGCAGCCCATACTCGTAGACTTTACATGTCTACAGTCATAATGTCATTGTACTAGTATGCAGTGTACTGAGGAGATGTCATCGCCTTTCCGTTGAGCTCACGCTTCGTCACTCCCCTTCCTCGCCCTTCTGAATTTTTGCACCTTCACTTTCTTGGTCACTTCATTTCTTCAGACCTTTCTGGGGGGGGGGGGGGGGGGGGGTAATATACTGGCATTGCAGGCGAATTTCATTTTAGCGATGCGGTCTCAGGGTCTGGTGTGTGCTTGTGACGACAGGAAATTCTGAGTAAGACCCGTTGCGGTCTAGCTAGGCCAGTGCCGTGTAGGGCAGTGCCGTGTAGGGCAGTGCTGTGTAGGGCAGTGCCGTGTAGGGCAGTGCCGTGTAGGGCATGCAGTGCCGTGTAGGGCAGTGACAGCGAAGGGAGTTGTTACTCAAGATCGCTCCGTTTGAGTCTGCGTTGAGTCGTTCAGTGGAGTGGCGCTGACCACCGGTAGCCGTGGTTAAATTGGTGATTGGTCGGTAGCAGCATCAGCTGCGGGAGTGCTGGGATCAGCAACTGGCAGTTAAGTTGCTGATCCCAGTTACTGCATGGAACGCTCTCAAGCTCTATACTAGCTTCCTCCTTGAATTGATGAAGCTGGGTCAGGGAAGGCGGCACCTACTCAGTAGTATTCTGCTACTCAATCTGCATGGCTGCTGCGAGCTAGTACTATAAATACACGTACTAGTAAGTCTGAGTGACGAACCTTGTTTCGGGAGTTCATCCTGCTTCGTCTTCACTCAGTACAGTCCCTCTTAGATTATAAAACCATGTTATGCCATGCCCTATCTGCCACGTTGAGTGTGGAGCAGAAAGCACAGAGGTGCAGACCACAGCCTTTCTTCGGTGCATAACTGCTG